GTTTGCGTGTGTAAATTTTTCTTCATATAAATTATATCTGTACTCGTTTATTTTATTTTTAAGCATAGTAATGAAACGAAAGCAACTATCACCCCTTTAACGTCACCGTCCTCACCCACCTTCATTACTACAATATTTTATACCTACGACGTGCATATGTAGATTTCAAACAAGTAATTAAAACAATAGTCCATTCAGTTACGGATGAATATCAACCGTACACATGCAGCGGCAGAAACAATCTGACGTACACACAAAATGTTTATATGTATATATGACAAAAAAGAAATAAAAAAAAATAAAAATAAAAAAGAAGAGGAAATAGGAAAGAAAATGAAATAAAATTAAATCCCAGAAGTTTGTATGGAAAAAAAGTTGACGTACGTTTGATATACATAAATACATATGAACAAATACAACAACTCTATGTTACATTGATTATAATGATCATGATAATGATGATGATGATGATAATGATAATGATGATGATGATGATGATGATGATGACGACGACGTTTACCAACAAAATTATATGTAACAACAACAACAACAGCAACGTTAACTACGGCTACGACGACACAACATCAACGAGAGTATAATAATAGTACCGCCACCACCAGCTCCAGTTAGTTAGCTAAAGTGAGGGTATGAACGTGTTTGTCTGTCTGTACATGCTTAAATTTATTTATTTTTTTTTTTTTCTCCGTTGATTTTGTTTATTTCTGTAGTCTTTTTATTTTTTTTTATTTTTTTTTGTTTTATTATAAATTTGGTATGACTTGGTGTTGTATAACTGCGGGTTTCATGTGCGATTTTAAAGTTTGAGTTAAACACGACTTCTCTCTGCTACTATGTTTATATTGTTGTTATTGGTTAATTCGCATGCACCCTACACAACGTATTATATGTAAGTTTTTTTTTATATGAAAAAGTGATGATCTCAAGGAGCCAGCCATCATCGTTTGCCGTAACACTACAATAAACTGCTGTTTCACTGACTGCCACTGTGCAAAGTATTATCCTTAAGCAATAAGCGACAACGATAACAGCCATCGTTCGTGCATAGTTAAAGGAGTCATAGAATTATTCAGAGTCAACAAGAGTGCCAATATAGGAGTCATCATACATCTTGCCTTATTACTTACACCATCTCCTGCTGCCGCCCAACTTTATCTTTACCATGAACACCGCGCGTTGCAATCTTCTGGGCCGATATGTTATATTTGTTGATTTATATGTTTCGTTTGTTTGTTTGTTTGTCTGTCTGTCTGTCTGTCTGTCTGTTTGTGTGTGTGTGTTTGTTTGTTTGTTTGTTTGCGTGTAGGTACCTTTTACTATTGTGCATTATTGTGCTGCTTTACTGGTACATTTCTGCTGTTGTAGCTGTTCTTGATGTTGTTCTTGTTGTTGCTGTTGTTGCTGCTGTTGTTGCTGATGATGTTAAATTCTCTTGCTTCATCTTTTCTGTTCCGTTCTATTGTTGTTGAATGATACAAGAGTAAATACATATAAGTAAGTAATATACAGAAAACAGGCAAAAGACAACAACAATAATAACAACTTCAGTTCGTAATGTATGTTTATCATCTACTATTGCCCTACGTCTGTATGCCGGTGTGTGTGCTTGTGCATTCACATTTAATATGTGTTTTTGATTTGTTTTTTTTTTTTTTATTTTTTTTATCCACATTATTGTTCTTCTACTGTAAAGTATTCATGTTCGTCGTCGTTTACGATGAACAATTTTTGTACTGTGGGTCACGTGTAGCTAAAAAGCGCTATATTGTCATTTATATTGATAGGAGGAATAATTCATTGAATTAGTTTCGCGAATTTCATTTAATATCGACGGTATAGAGATTGGAAAGTAATGTGTGGGAGTTTTGTGTTTGTATAGAAAATGACATTACATAACCAAACTAAACAATCAAAAAAAAACTTTTTGTTTATAAAAAATTCGAAGCAGACTTTTGATAATCGCGATATGTGCGAAATGTGGTCTCCCTTCCTGCTACCTTATATAGAATCGGGAGATGTTTCCTAATAGTTAAGCGCCATCAGACTTGTGCGATTTTCCATTACATTTAATAATTGATTCAGTAACTAACTCTTAATGGATCATAATTACCGCGTTTGTTATCAAACGAAGACCTAGGGTTAGTAAGCATACAAACGCACAACTATTTATTGTAGATAAAGGTCATAGATCAATGTGACAAGGGTATTATCTTCTTCATCTCTCTTTTTGTATCTCTCTCCTTGCTATTCATTATGGTCTTTCTTAATGCTCATAACTTACTAGACTAGTAGGCTCTTTTTATTTAAATGTGGAAGAAAAATGTTAGAAGTCCCCACTTATAAAGGGGCAACATTCTAAGAGATTCTAAGAGGGATACAGCTTTAAAAACGTTATTTTGAAAGTATTTTTAAAAATTTTCTTATGCATTTTCGAAAAAAAAAACTCTTCTACTATTACAAAAGACATACATAGACTTCGATCCGCCCAAATGGCCGAGCAACCAAGAGTCTGGACTACCACTTAACTCTCCCAATGATCGTGGGTTCATATCTCAAGTGCGGTAGAGTTTTTAATAAAAATACCGAAAGCCTTAGATGCTAATGCTTTAAGATTTTAGTCTTAGAATTTATTCTCTTGTAATAATAAATAACAATAACAATACAATAGACATTAATAGAAAAAAAGAAAAAAAAAATTTTTTAATTTTGTGATTATCTTACAAAAGATTTAGTTAAATATATTTATATATATATAATTAAATAAAAAACTCGAAATTTTTCAATAAAAGAAAATTAAAGGTATTTTATAGTTTTTATGCCCCACTGTCCATCAATGCTGTCTGTCTAGTTAATGCTGCTGCCTGTTGTTTTTGTTGTTGTTATGATTGGTATTGTTGTGTTTATGTATTTGTTGTCGTAGTCATATCGTGTGTGTATAGTCGACACATAACCCAAAGAGTACATACTCGAATTTGCAGCCATTGACTTGAATTGCTTCAACGATGATTTCGTAAATTTAGTTTTGTTCGGTAATTCGTCGCGTAAGCAGGAAAATTAGAATTTTGTCCTCCGGTCTATGGCACACAGCTTTTAGAGATACATACCCGATTCCCTTTCGCCTCCTTCCCCCGCACTCTACTACTAACTAACTACATAAGTAAGTGAGAGAATACAACAAAAAATTGTGAATGAATTGGAATGGAATGGATTGTAATTGTTGCGAGAGTGTTGTTTGTTGTTGCATATCTAAAAGCGTAATTGTGAATGCGTATATATATATATATCTATATATATATATATAGACATATATACATTTATATATATGTGAATTCGTTTGTCGGTTTTATTTCATTTTATTTATTTATTTATTTTTTTTTTTGGGAGAGTAATCTCTTTGTGAAATTTTCGTGTTTAAACAAACACACCAACACAACACCACAGGCCGAAGTATAGTGAAAAACGCGTCTTAAATTGTGTGTTGTGTCTTATATAAAGGATATGTATGTGTTATTTATATTATTATATTAGGCGATATTACAAGATAACAAGAGCAGTTTGTTATTATATGTGTATGAGTTCACAATATAACGAAATGGGAATATGTGAAAAATGTGTATATGTATGAGTTTATATGCATAAACGCTACTTACTACTTACATAATGTGTCGGGTCTCATTTCGATAACTGTTGACTGGTTGGTTGTAAGCTTATGCTGCTTGCTTTGTGTTGGTTTATTTTCATTATACTTAACATATATTGCTCGAATAGGAGAAGCGTCGTTCGTCGTCATGTTATGTCAGTGTATCAACACTGTATCAGCAAGACCATTAAATATTAAGGAATATTACTGATTGTCTATTTGCAATTGCAATTTGTCTGTCTAATCTCTCGCATCAGCATTTAATGACATTTCGCTCGTAAACTTTCTAATCTCGACTTGACGATGCTGTTTTCAATTAAATGCGGTTTTGCTGAGTATTTATGGTTATGGTGACGTGACGCACTGTCACAATGTCTCAGCCCTTTGCCCATATATGTATATATATATATATATTCTTGTCTCTCTTTCTAAATAAATGAACTAACAAGTCATTATTCGAAAAAAAGCAGAAAAAAAAAAAAGATTGAAACTCTATTCGACTGCTTAGCATTCGTTCAAGTTTTTTGTATGCACATCTGTGTATGTAAAATGACAACAAAGTTGATACGATTTACCCTTCTTTGGTGTGGAAGCTCTATGGGAAACGTAAGCAGAGTATAAAATGCGCTCCTAACAAGCATAACAGCGCAATCCTTAAATATAAAAAGGCTAAACATACCTACAGACATATATGTCCAGTCAGTCAGTCAGTCACTCAGTCAGTCAGCCAGCCAGCCAGCCAGCCAGCCAGCCAGCCAGTCCCCCTTTTCCCCCCACCCCTCTTTTTCCATATCATTCTATTCTATGCAAGGCTGAGTTTGTTAAGCATTGTTTAGTACACAGTCGCTCGCACACCTTTTGTTGAAACATAAATTCGTTATTCTTCATACAAAACACAAGAAATTCATTCTTTTCGTGGCAACAATTGTACATAGTCGCCGACATTCGCATCGGTATTTACTTGATGTGTGTATTTATGTATGTTTTTCGTGTTCTTCTTCTTATTATTATTCTTCTTCGTTATAATAAGTATGCGGAGTAGTGCAATAACACAAAGTGTTTTATACATATTTTATTTGGTTGTTGTTGCTGTTGCTGTTGCTTTTGCTGCTTCTCCCATTTTTTTTTTTTCGTTTTTTTTTTTTTTTTTTTTGTTTTTTGCTGTTCGCATTTATATTTTGTAAAGAGAATAACCAGCCAGGCAACCAGAGTCAGCCAGCCACACATAAAAATGATTGTTGCTATTGTCGTTGTTGTTTTTATTTTTGTTGTTATTATTACAGTGCTGCGGCACTTTTGTGTATACATAAATATCTTTTTCTTGGCCCCAGTCAAACTGCCAGCCAGCCAGTCAACCAACCAACCAACCAACCAACCAACCAACGAAACAAACAAACAAACAAATAAACAGCAAAGCAGCAAAGCCAGCCATCCAAGATATCCATATATTTTTTCCCTTTTTTTTTTTTCATTTGGTGGTATTTAATGCTGCATGTGTCGGAAAGTGAAAAAAATACAAAATTTCTATAAGAAAAACCAGTGCAAAAAAAAATAAAATAAATATATATATATATATATATATATATATATATCCACAACAACACCAACAATAACGACATAAACTACTAAAATATCAACGAAGACGACGAGGAATTGTTAAAAAAAAAAGGAAAGAAAGAAGAAGAAGAAGAAAAAAATTAAATAAAAATTTACAAAAAATGTAAAAGAAAGAAAAGTTTTCATAATCAATAATCGGTGTATACATCTTATCCAACCCTGTGCGGGCTCTTTGTGTACGTATATACATACATATATAAGTAGATATATATATATATATATATATATATATATATATATATATATATATATATGTGATGAAAAATTGTGAAAATGAAAGAAGAAATCATTCTCTATTTACATATTTCATGCAGCAAACGCAATGGAAATCATTCCTCTATTAAAACATCATGAATAATTATTAAAAAATTTGATGCATAAAACTGTCAATTTTACCCCACAAATCCATGTTCAACAATCGGCCTTTAAAATAAATTTCAAAGGCTTCATTCTCTATATTCATTTGGAGGAATATTTATGGATTTATTATTATAACTACTTACACATTTAATTGGATACACAAAAAAAAAAAACCAAAAGCAAAAAAAAAAACAAATAAAAAAATCGAAACAAAAAATAGGAAATAATTAAGGTAAATTTTTTATTTTTTTTTATTTTTGATACCTAAAAGCAATGTGATAAAATAAATAAACACACTTTCAAAGTATTAGTGATCATAAGACTTTCGCTAAAAAATCACTTAAGAAAAAAAAAAAAAAAATTTTTTTTTTTCTTTCAAACATCACCCTCATCATGACACTATCCCGCTTAATAATATCGTTTACTTTTTAACTACAAAATTTTGCATATAAAATGTATTCAAAATTTTCCAAAATTAATTTCATTTAACATAACATGCAACTATATATTTATATATATATATATATATATATGGTCACCGGGAAGAAACAGCTGTTGAAAATTTTGTTTTTCTTTAAAATATAAACTTAAAAAAAAAAAACTCTTGACTCAAATAACTTTTTTTTATTTTTATACTCTTACGCCACTTATTCTGCACGGGCATATTACGTTTATGCGGCTATGCATTATATACTTAGCAGGATTTTATGTAGACTCACTTTCTATATTACGTCGAATCGTTTGCGCTGACTTGATTAAAGCTTATGTGTCCATCTGTCTCGTGTCCAACCTACAGGTAGTAAGTTCTGAAATATTTTAATGAAATATTGGTACACTAACCTGTTTCGGCTCAAATCCATTGAAAATGGTTTCTTCATTTCCTATATGACGCTTTATTTGGAAAAATCAGCAGATGGATAGTTGTATGGTGGAGTAGGGGAAGAGCTCTGCCTCACTTAACACGTTAAGGACGGCACAGTTTTTCCTATTCCGCATAAGCATTCACTTGTGAGCCACCGGTGGTACACGCCGTCCTTATATATATAGATAACAGCTTAGATGTAGAAACGATAAATAATTCCATTTCTGTTATTCCTTCTATTACGATTTTGTGAATCTACACTTTTATCGCAATTTTTTGCCAAAAGTATATGGAAAAGACAAAGATTGTGTTAATAAGAAAAATTTCAAAAACAATTTTTATTGTTGTAGCAAAAGTTTTGTTGTTGATTTGATTTGATTGAATTTTACGGAAATTAACTAAATATTTATAGGAGGCAAGTAAGTGTTCGCGGGACGAATAGACAACAACAACTATGATAAAAACAATTCAAGCGATAATCTAGCACTAAAATGTATTATCTTCGTGATATCGAATCGAAAAATTTGTATAAGTTTAAGTCAAATTAAATTTTAACAAATTTTATCGACTTGAAATTTGGCATATCAAATCAATTCTTGTTAATACGCGCGCTTTACCTATGTCGCTTGATTCACATAGTAAACTGAATACGTTCACTACTATCGATTCTCTAAACTTTTGCAAGTGCACTGCGAACCGGATGCGGGGGCATGCCATTGTGCTGAATGTGTTTTATATGCATTTCATAAACTACATCACTTGTATGCTACGGCGTATAGTTTGTGTGGATGTGTACAACATCCAGAAGGAGTTGAGATGCTTCCACCTTTCATTATACATAGCGATTTACAAGATGTCTTTAGGCTTGTCTGTCCGTCCAGGGCGCATTTATTGACATATTTCGATGACTGACGATGTCTCCCAAACACAAAGGAGATCGTAAGGTAAGGCAGACTGGTAGAATACTTCAGGGTATAACATCAGCCCACCAGTGAAAGAAATTTTCGATCATAAGCGATCGTGGATAAAACGTGAAACACACACACACATATATATATATTCTTCTTTTCCATTTCACGTGCCTTTGCCCTTTACAAACCCCGATCGTCTGACTGACATTCTGACATCATGACTCTATTCATATATTATTCCGTTACATAAAAATGCTTGACTTGGACTAAATATATATTGTTTTCTTTTACGCAAAAAAGTGAGCCAAGGACGAGCACTATGGAAAATGATTCGGATCGCATCATTTTTTCAACAATGTCCGTATATGAACAAATGTGTTAAACGAAGTGATGCAGGGTACCTACCTAGTAGTAGTGTCCACCTTGACAGATTGTAATGGATTTGTTTGTTTGAATATTGAATCGTTATGTGAATCGTTTTTCTTTTTCACACTAGAAAGAACTACGGTTATCTTTATATGTGGGTGAAGGTACACATATATATAATATATATGTTTTGTATATATTAACGATAAAATTTTTTTACTTTGTTTCCCTTTTATTTCATTTGGAGCGGTAAAGAGGTCGGTAAAACGACTGAACGTAATAAAATAGCATAAAGGAAAGCACTTTCTAAGACAATTCAAAATAATTTTCAAATCGAATAACAATCAGAATTATTTAAATATTCTATATAAGAAAAAGAAAGGTGCAATTTTTCATGCCTACTCTCTCTCTCTCTCTCTCTCTCTCTCTCTCTCTCTCTCTCTCTCTCTGTCTGTAGGTATCGAAAACTTTCATCCCAAGGCAATTGATAATTAATTTGACCAACAATTTTCTCTTTTTTTTTATTTTTTATTTATTTCTTTATTTTTTTTTTTTTTATGGAGACCATAAAAATGATTCATTTCGAAATAGTAACAATAACGTTTAATAAAATTAAAAATATCTATACGCTAAAGTAAAGCAATTCGTTACAACTTGAGTATAGGAGCGATTAGTAGTTATATCGGTGATGGTAGTGGTGGTGGTGGCAGTGGTGGTGGCGTTGATGTTGATGTTGATTTGTAGAGTTAAGCAAGGTGTAAGCAAGGGTACTTGAACGTTACATGTTTATTAATCGGTTTTATATCTCTCTATACCCATACACATTCACACATGCATGGCAGCTAAATTTAAATAAAATTTTTCGGTTTTCTTTTCTTCTTGTCTATCTGTCTGTCTGTCTTTTTCGGCTGTGCGAGTAGTTTAAGTGGAATTGAAAAAAATAATACACAAAATTAACAATTAACTATAAAAAAAAAAGAAACCTAAAAAACTATAATAATAAAAAAGAGCAACTGAATAACTATCTACCCGTGACCACGACAACATGTTGTTGCTGTTGTTGTTAGTATTATTATTATTAATATTATTGTTGTTGCTGTTGTTGTTGTTGTTTTGCTTTTATATTTTAGCTTGTAGTTCATAATAACGTAGACACAATTTAGCTGCTGTCCATGCTCGCACGTACAAACGTAATCATAGTGTGTTTGGGTGTTCATCGAATAATAAAAAAAAAAAAAAAGCATAACCAAAGGGTAAGAGCGCCTAAAGAGTTATGCGAATAGATAGATATGTATCTCTACATGTCCAAATGTTCGTTTTGTGTCTCTCCCAGTGTTTTTTGTGTTTACGCGTATGTGTGTGTGTGTATGTGCCTGTGTGTGCGCGTTTATATTTGTGTTTACTTAATAGGCAAAGAGTTATTAATACATATATATATATATATATATATATCTACATGTATATCTACATATATATCTACATGTACATTATGCTAAGAGCTACATCGTTACATACATACATATATACGTACAATCATGTAGACCAGCTTTAAAGAGTACGTGTAACTCTGTATCTGGTCGAGTGTCTGCCTGTTTGTTCGGCTGTGTAAATAATATGACTTTATGGGTATTGAATAAAGTTTATATGATGGCCACATAAACTCTGTCAATCATTCACTGGATACCGAAAAATAAAAAGCTTACTATGACAACCAATCAAGTGGAATAACGTTTTGATAGTACGAGGGGACACCACGAGGGAAACTAAAAATAAAAATAAAAAAAAAAAATAAAATAAAAAAAATAGAAAAAACAATAAATAAATAAATAAATAGAAAATAGACAGATTCTGGCATTTTCCTATTATTATTTACTTTTTTATATGAGAGATAAATAAATAAACAGTAATAAAGAGGAATATATATATATATATATATATATATATATACAAATAAACACATATACAATATGTATTTTATTATTATTGATCTATAATTTCCATATGAAGAACAAGAACGAACACAATCGTATTGACTGGTCGTGGATGTAAATGATAAAGCAAGAGAGAAATAGAGCGAATTATAGTTTAGTAGGAAGGCAGCTATCGTTCGCAGCTATAATAAAATGGCCCAATCAAATCATATATATGTATAGAAACAATAGAAAATGTAAAAAAAAAAATATATATATGCGCTTGGAAAATATTATAGATTTTAAATTTGAGATTTCACACATACACAATATATTCATTCCTTTTTTTTTTCATTTTTTTTTTCATTTTTCATGCCATATATGTTCGAGTGTAATGTATACATGATTTAGTGACTACTATTGCTATAATCCACCACCATTGCCGTTGTCGTTGTCGTTTCCATTGCTTTCGTGGTCATTGTTATAGATACATTTTCGGTATGAGATGAACGACGTTACAGTATTTTTGTGGTAATAACAACTAATGCAAACTTACATTTTGAGATGCATGTAGAGGCGCTCTAGAGAGAATAAAAATGCAAAGAGAAGCATATATAAATATATATATATATACATATGAAAGTGTGGAATAAAAACTGCATTTTTCATGTTTGCTTTTGCTTGCTTATATGAAAAAAACAAAAAAAATAAAAAAATAAAAAATATTGGAATAATTATAATTAGAAAAACTGACACAACCAATGCATATACACACACATATATATATATATATATATATGTAATGAAAAATAAATGTTTAACATAAAATTGTCGTTGTACTTTAAACTCACTCATATGTCATATACATTAATAAACATTGTGTGCATTTATACGTTGATGCCTCAAGAAATTGAGATAACGATACCATAAATTTGGCAGCGGGATAAAGCAAAGTCTATACGTGTTATTGTTTATAACAGCTTCACAATTTGAATCTTCATAAATTTACTTGCTATCAAGTTAGCTATCATCCAGTTTTCATTAATTTGAATAACTTTCCAATCATTTTCATAGCAAATTTTTGGAGCCTGCAAATAAATATATATATGCAAAAAGAAAGGACA